CTCCCCCCTTTGCCAGCCATGTCGCACTGCCCGACAGATAAACGCATCTTCTTGGTGCGACACGCACAAGCTGAACACAAGTGAGTCCCCCATCTCCCATCTCCCCCAATCACTCAGACACGCGCCACCCATTCACCATTGGGGCGCGCACGCAGTAGTACACACCTTCTCTCCACTCCCTCCACCAACGCGTAATCGCAGGACTGACGGCAGTGTGTTCAGCGACTGGTCCAGTACGTCGGCATGCACCTCACATGCATCCATTACGCGCCCGCACGCGCTGACATCAGTCCACGACCCATCATTGACACCCGTTGGAAGGCGGCAGGCTGGCCGCCTCCAGGATGAGACTATTGGCAGTCTCCAGGGCACTGCCCAGCTCTTGGTTACTTCCCCAGTACGAACAAGTCACATCTCCTCGCTAACCACAAGCTCCGCCGCACAATGGAGACGACCCTCATCGCGTTCCCCGAGCTCAAGCGCAGGCTGGAGGCCGAGGGCAAAAAGGTCGTTCTACTTGACATTGCGCAAGAAGTCGAGGAGTGAGTCATCGCGTGCTCTGGTGGCTGGGTGACCGGGTGGGACCCTCGGGTGGGGTTCCGCGTGCCTGGAACCCGAGCGTGGCAAACGTCCACAATTTTTCTCCGGCCCCTCCCCACCACCGGCCGCGGCATCTCCATCACGCCGCAGCCACCCATCATTATCAGAGACACGCTGGCTGACACTAGCCTTCCATGCGATACTCCGTTGCACCCCCGCGAAGAGCTCGCGTCTTCCATGGACGGCATGTTCTCTGACCTCGATTTCACTGGCCTCTCCCCCGACTATGCTTCCAAGCAGGGCATTTTTGACCCAGAACGGGCCGCCGAGCGCGCAGAGCTCGTGAGGAAATGGCTTCGTGAACGACCCGAGCAGGAAATTGTCTGTGAGTAGCAAAATTCTGGGCCTTTGTGGTCTCTGGCCGCTCTGTAATGGCTGAGGTGCGAGGAAAGGGTGGCTGCGGCAGTGGCCCGCACGAGCCAATCACGCGGCGTCCGAGCGCATGATCGTCGGCAGGCCGCGAGCGTGCGGCTCAGGATCATGATGCTGGCCCTTTGGCTCATTTGGCATGCCTTCCATTCGCCTGCCAAATGCTGTTTTGGTATGCGAGTGAGGCGGTTTGGTTTGGGGTTTGTTGGGGTGGTTTGGCCGTTTGGTTTTCGGCGCCAAGAAATGCAGCATGCTAACGCGCAGTGGTTGCACACGGCGACATTCTGCGCTACATTGTCGATGGGCACCACTCGTCTCGGGTGAGTCGCGTCGCGTCTGGGCGGGATTGAGGCGCGGAACACGCGTCACATGTTCCGCCCGTCTGCCAGCTGCCAGCTGCCCGTGTCACACCGAATTCCGCTTACATTACAGAGGTGGCGGAACGCCGAAGTGTGCGAGTTTGCGTTCCAGGCCGGATTTGAAGATCCCGAGGCACGTTTGGTAGAACGCCGCTCTACGCACGACAAGAAGCCCGCAGTGATCCAGACGCCGACCCCTCCGACTTCCGAGGGTTCCAAGTCTCCGGGGCCGATGTTTGCCATGTCCCCTTGACAATGAGCGGGAGGAGGAGACGAGCGTCGTAGATCTCCCCGTTTCCGAGTGTAGCGCGAGGGGTGGGCGCATGAGGGCGCGTGGGTGAATGTGTGGCCGCCATTAGGCGTGCATTGTTGTTTGTACAATATTTGGGCGACCGGATGACACCTGGCCGGCGTGCCAGGCCTGGTCTGTTGATAACTGGGAGTGTGTCATGTTTGTAACGGGCACTAGATTATATTCTATAGAATGTTTTGTTCATGTGCTTGTTGATGTCTTGGGTTTTCCGGGTGCAGCAGGCAGATGATCAGGTGAACACGCAGCAAACCTTGTCGCGACGTTATCGCGCACTGGTAGCGAGCTAGCGAGGCTGACGCTGGCGATTAGATTGAGTGAGTGAGGCTGGTTGAAGCGAGCGAGGCGAAAGTGAGGTCGGGTGAACACGTTGCAGACACAAACGTGCTTCGCGTGCTTGAAGCGTGGTACTCATTCCTGGGGTACTTGGGGGATGCGGCACACGCCGCACGGAAACACAGTTGATCGACGACCCTGCTACTACTTACTGAACATGCCTGCTAGCTTGCTGCAGCGACAACAATACGTGCCTCCCGTCGTCACACGCGTCATAGGTATGGCCTCGTTTACTGTACATCCTCAGCAAGCACGCACGACGAGACGAGGCGAGGCGAGGCGAGGCTCATTAGATCACAAGTCCATGCTGGCCTCGTTCCGCTAAGCTTGGTCGCCCTGCCCTCTGCCCTCTGTGGCAGCGCGGCAGTCGACAAGCGCGTCCCCTGTCACGCAGTGACGATCGACGACGTCACTGATGGCACACACGTTGCCGTGGCCGAGTGCATCGAAGGCGAGTCTCTGATCGATCAGATCCATTCTTGTCGTGCCCTCGTGCATGCGTGCACCCCGCCCACCCCGCCCACCCCGCCCACCCCGCCCACCCCGCGCACCTCACCTCGCGGTCACCGTTCAGAGTGCGCTATTCCAGGCTCAGCCTGCCGACGGGGAAGGGACAGAATGCTGTACCGCGGGTAGCTAGGCTGCTGCGCGTCACGTCAGTGTCAGCCAGCAGCCGATCATGGGATGCATGGGATGGGCGAGCACGATGTGAGCACCTCATCCGCCTCATCCGCCTCATCCCCTCGCCACGCCTCGCCAAGCTCATATAACCCGGGATCCTGGGACATCATTCTTCTCTCCTCCCCCTCCCCCTCTCTCTCTTTCTCTCTCCCTCTTCCACCACACACAACCACAAACAACATGTCCGGCGTAAGTCTACTCACACACTGCTGGCACATGCCAACAGCAGCTCCTCGACAAGATCAAGAACACGGTAGAGGGCCAGCTCCAGAGCGGCCAGAGTGGCCAGAGCGGCGGCCAGTACGGCCAGCAAGGCTCGGGCGTGAGTTGTCCATCCCCGGCGTCTCCTCTCCGTCTCTGCATCTCCCCAAGCCCTCCCGCTCTTCCTCTTCCTCTCCCCTCCTCGGTCTGGCATGTCTGGCCGGCTGCCGTTCTCTCCCCCCCCCCCCCCCCCCCCCCTTGCCCCCTTATTTGCCCCCCTCCACTTGCCTTCCCGCCCGTCCATCTCTAACCCCAGTACGGCGGAAACGACAGCTACGGCTCCAACACTGGCAGCGGCCGCGACTCGGACAACCAGTACGGTTCGGGTAACACTGGCAGCAGCGGCTTCGGCAGCGGCCGCGACTCGGACAACCAGTACGGCTCCGGAAACACTGGCAGCAGCGGCTTCGGCAGCGGCCGTGACTCGGACAACCAGTACGGTTCGGGCAACACCGGCAGCTCCGGCTTCGGCAGCGGCGGCCGCGACTCGGACAACTCTTTCGGTTCGGGCACCACCGGCCGCCAGACCGGCAGCTTCGGCGACAATGACAACTCGTACGGTTCGTCGGGCCGTACTGGCCGTGACGACGACAACTCGTACGGCTCCTCGGGCCGCACCGGCCGCGACGATGACAACTCGTTCGGCTCATCCGGCCGTACTGGTGGCCGCGACGACGACAACTCTTTCGGCTCGTCGGGCCGCACCGGTGGCCGCGACGACGACAACTCTTTCGGCTCCTCCGGCCGCACTGGTGGCCGCGACGACGACAACTCTTTCGGCTCGTCGGGTCGCACTGCAGGTGGCTACGGTGGTCGCGACGATGACAACTCTTTTGGATCTTCGGGCCGCACCAGCGGCCGCGACAACGACAACCAGTACGGCAGCGGCCGCCAGCAGGGCGGCTTCGGCAGCGACGACAACCAGTTCGGCGGCAGCGGTGCTGACCGCGACCAGTACGGCTCGGGCCGCGACAACTACTAAGCGCGCGGAGCTTGTGAACGCGTAGGGGTGAGAGAAGGGAACATAGACAAGAATGAATGAAGTGATTGATCGTTGAGGAAGGGGGTGGTGGCGGTGCAGAAGGGGTCCAAAGTCATCCGTCCACGGATCCGGCCAGAATCATGGGAATGTGGCGCATGCAGGCCAGACGTTGGTATGGGCGAGACATGGTGGAGACAAAGGAGTGTACAACAAAGGAGTGAGGCTGAGGAGAGGGTGCGAGGGAGAGGAGAGGCCGCTCGCCGTCACGCGGTGCAGAGAGACTGGGGGAGCACAAGCGCCGCAACAATAGGTCAAGTCGAGCAATGTAGGTTGCTCAACTGTGAACGACGACTGGGAATGGGATGGAGCGGAAGGTGGAAAAGAGGATTGATTGATCGTCATTCGCTTTCGCTACCTGGTGTCACGTGACCTTTGACACAAACAAGCGTTAGTACGGCGTGAAGCCGTGCGTGAGTGGCACAACAGAAATATCATTTGGCATCAACATGCCCGCGTCTGTGCCAAAGACGACGTCTGGGGGATGACCAACCTTTCTTACCCGACAATCCTCCGCCTTCATAGCTCCTCGTCGATGCGCTGGTGACATGTTGGAGGAGAGAGTGATGATCTCTGAGACTTTGGTTCGCACTGAGTGGCAGTCACGTGACACCCACGCGGCCCTCGCGCGACGTCGGCCGTTTCGGGCGAGGCGTCGGCCAAACTCGGGCTCCCCCCAGTTACACCACCGTGCTTCGGCGCCCAGCTGCCAATGAGGAAGCGGCCAATTCCAAGTCTCCCACCGTCGCTCACCGGCCAGCTTGTGCCCGCCCCCCGCCGACCAGGTCGTTGGAGCCAGCAACGATCTCAACGATCTCAACGACGTCCACTCATCCGCCGCCGCCATGTTCGTCGCCCGCCCCTCTCTCCTCCGCGCTGTCGGCACTGGTGCGTAGATGATGTGCTTGAACGCTCCACTCCTTCGTTATCGACACTCCCTCGCCCCGCCATCCATCCTCCTCCCTCGGCCAACCCACCTTCCTTCCTTCCCACCTCTTCCCCCCCTCTCCCCACCCCCCCCTTTCACCTCCCCCCCGCTGACCCCAGCCCCCGCCTTCCGCGCTACCGGGCTCGCCCCGCGCGTGGCCCGCACCGCCCTCGCCCTCCGCCGCAGCGTGCACACCGACAGCCTCACCCCGCTGCAGGAGATCCAGCGGCTGAACGCGCAGCGCTCGAACCGCCCCTGCTCCCCCGAGCTCGCCATCTACCAGCCCCAGCTGACATGGTACCTCTCGGGTCTGCACCGTGTGACGGGTGTGGCCGTCGCGGGTCTCTTCTACGTCGGCGCGCTCGCGTTCGCCCTCCACCCCTGGTTCCCGGCGATGGACTCGACTCACGCCATCGAGTTCATCCACTCGCTTCCCGGGTGGCTTAAGACGACCGTCAAGCTCGCTATTGCCGCCCCGGCGACGTTCCACTCGTTCAACGGTATCCGCCACCTGATGTGGGATGTTGGAAAGGGTGAGTGACGCCACGGTCGGGCGCAGAGGGCTGTGTATTGGAGGGCGTCGACGGTAATAGGGCACTCGTGCGCTTCGGGACAGCGCTGGTGGCTCTGTTGGAGGTGTCTACTCGGCACGAGCGTGGGCTACGTTGCTGTTCATACTCCTCCATCGAGTCCTCTGGGCTAGTCTCGTCCCCCACCCCAACACTCCTCATATCTCCCCTTTGGTTCCTTCGCCCCCACCCCACCCCACCCCAGCACTAACTCCAGGCCTCACCATCAAGGGCGTCTACAAGTCGGGCTACGCCGTTCTCGCTGCCACGGCCGTCTCGACCATTTACCTCGCCTTCTTCGTGTAAACCAAAAGGTAGACAGTGTAACGGTAGTGGATATGCGACGACATGAAGCCACGGGGGGAGTGAGGGAGAGGATACAAAGAGAGGTGACAGAGGAGCCCAAGATGCCGAGTAAGAACAGGTGAGATGGGGGCTGCGTCGTGTGAGTCGTGTGAGATCATGGCTGCGCGTGCGAGATATGGGCGGACTAGGTGTGCTCATGATATGTGCCATATGTAGTCTACCGGAACCACGCATTAACTCCAACACCAATACTCTCGCCCTCTGCCGAGTGCCACCACCCAGGCGGGATGAGGACGGAGTCGCCCGGCCCAAGGCGGACCTCACATGCGCCGTCGTGCGTAAACGCCTCCTCTAAGAGCGCGCGGAATCTTATCCTCTCCTGCGGCTCCAGCTCCTCGCCCTCTCCCTCTCCTTCGCTCTCCCCACTCACTTCCGCTCCCTCCAATATCCTGCGCACACTAACGGGCACTGTAGCAGTGTTCGCCCTGACGGCGCTGCGCGCCATCTCGACATGTGGAGGGAGGAGGTGGAACACCTTGCTCCCTACGATCTGTGAGTATAGCCCGACATTCGGGTCGCGATGGAAGGGCGTGAAGCTCCCGCGCGGCCCGACCCACAGCGTGCGCCCATACACATCTCCCCTTGGCCCGCGATAATGCTCGAGGGGGGGCAGCGCCTCCCGGAGTCCCGGGAGGTCGAGGAGCGGCGCTTGCGCAAGGTATCCGGCGGGGAGGGCGGCGGGGTCGGCGGCCGGAATGGAGCGGAGCACGAACGCGTCGAGGAACAGGCCTGGCGTCAGCTGTATCGCACGAAGGCGCACCAAAACCCATCGTGACCCGCTCCCACCGCGGGTCGGTGTATCCGCGTCCGCGCGGCGCGAGCTCGACGTCCACGGCGGTATGCTCGCCCACGGCGTGCCGAAGGCCGGTGAGCGTCGCGTCCCACGGCACGCGCCACCCGAGGCCGGGGAGGCGGAGGGGCGCACCGCCCGCCGCGACGTGCGCGCGCAGCGCCGCAGCAGTCATGTGCGGGACGGATAGTGCGTGCGGGATCGCCATGAGTAATGTGGAGGTGGACCGAATCTGAATCTCGCACCACCATGTCGCTCACCCAGAACCAGGCGCGCGTGCTGTGGGACGCGGGCGGCTTTGCCGTGCTCCTTGGCGTCGCGCGCGGCGCCGAAGCCGGCCTCGACGGCACGTATGTCCCCCCACGTACTCTCTGACGGCAGGATGCATGTGGTCGGCGCGTTCGCGGGATACAAGTTCGTGCCGCCGGGCCTACACGCGCTCGTGTGGGGCGCGGGGGAGGGCTCCAGCGAGGGCGCGGCGGCGGCGCTTCCCCTCCGCTCCGCGCTCATCAAGCACTGGGGATCGCGCGAGCGCGTCGTCCTCACCCTCCCCGAAGGCGGGGGGGAGGTGGAGAGCATGACTCTCGAAGAGGCTGGGCTTCGCGCGCTCGATCCGCGGCTTGCGTCGTATCCGTTCGCGGGGCTCGACGAGTGGAAGCGCCTCACGGCGTGTATCTCACGCGAGGTCGCCGATGTCCTCCCCGGCGTCGTGGACAGCTTCACGCCCGTCGAGGGCGAGCAGGACGAGGTGGAGGCTGCGTTGCGCGATGTTGGGAGAGAGGGCGAGGGCGGGGCCGAAGGACATCGAAAGACAATCCGCCTCCCGGTCTTCGACCTCAAGCGGTCGTGGCGCGCCGGCGCGCCCGCAGAGGACGTGACGCGGTGGTCGCGCGACAAGAGCGACCTGTGGGCGCGCGTGTGCGGCGCTCACGGCGGTACGTTGTGTTCCGCTGACAAGGTAGCTGACGCCAGGTCCCCGTGCGCTGCTCGGACACACCGCGCTCGCCTACATCCTCTTCGCGCAGGTGTGGAATGCGCCCGCGCTCGGCGCGTACCGCCGCCTTGTGGCGCTGCAGTGCCGCGCGCACGCGGCGCTGGCTGAGCCCGAGCTCTTCGCGGACGCTTTTGGTAGTGGCGATATGGCTGGGAACGCACAGGACGCGCGCGAGACTGCGCTCGCGTTCGTTGAGCTGCTTGTCGCACAGATTGGGAGCTTGCCGGAACACGCGGCCGTCGAGGTGCCGGACCTCGAGGAGTTTTTCGAGGGCGAGATCGAGGCGCTGCGCCGCGGACTCGGTGCCGCGCTCGCTGTGCGCGGATGGTGGGGGCTTGCGAAACGCGCGCAGGCTGCGTGGAGCCAGCTGCGCGCCGTCGCGGCGAAGAGGGGATGGAGCATCGACACCCTGCCGCAGGGCGACGAGGAGGAGGACGAGGAGGAGGGCGAGTACGCCCCCGTTGTGGTGGAGACTTAGTACATGACCGAACTTAATGCATCTAGATTCTACAGGAGCCAAGGGATGGCGGCTTTGCGCTCGGCGGGGTATGCTGCAAAAGTGCGCTGGTACCATGCGTGCCCGCGAAGCGCGCGGGGCAGCATGCTCGTGACTTCGGCGAGGACGAATGCCCACGGCGCAGCGAGAAGGACACGCGGCCACGCCGCCTCGGGGAGGAGGGCCGAAGCCGAGGCAATCCACCCGCTGAGCTGGAGCGACGCGAGGGGCGGCACGGCGACGAACACTGACGGCGCAGCGGCGATCGCGAAGCCTGTCCATTCGAGCCTGGCGTGAGCTACCACCTTGGCTGCCTCCGTGGCTCGACTCACCACTCGCACAGGTAGTTTGGGAACGAGACGAGCGCAAACCATCCCCCGCGCGGCACGTGGTACTTTCCGCTCTTGTTTGCTGGTCCGTCGTCTGCCGGAGACGAGACGAGGCGGCGCGCTGCAGGCCGGCGGAGGTCGTGCAAGATCTCGTCGTGGTAGACTGTGTGAGCGTCGCTCCGCGTGTAGGGGGGAGGACTCACTGTTGCCAATGAACCCCGCGGCCCACAGCACCATGCCTGCCCAAAACGTCAGGCCCCCCGGCGGCGGGAAGGCCGGAAGGGACAGGGCGAGCAGACTAGCATTGAGGACATTGAACGCGAGCGCGCACGCCACGACCGCGACGTGCAGCGGCGCACGGCGGGGCGCGAGAACGAGTGGGCTGAGAATTGCGCGATGTGCGTAGTGCGTGAGATATGCTGCTGCGAGGAGGCGCGCGCGGGGCGTGAGCGTGGCGAGCGGCGGGAGGGTTGCGTAAAAGGTCAGCGGCTGGTGTTAGTGGGGCGGGGAGGGCGGTGAGGGTGGTGAGGGTAGAGACGAAGACTCACCGCTGCAAGCTCCATTGCCGCCCAGGAAATGTTGCCTGGCAAGTTCAGAACCGAGGGGATGGAGAAGCGGCCGAAGGGCGCGTCGAGCAGCCACAGCGTGATGGGAGCGTGTAGCGGGAAGACGTGGTATGCTAGGAGAAGGGAGTAGAAGCGCCCTGGTGGGGCGTGAGTGGGAGTTAGCATGGTGCACCGAGATGGAGTGAGAATGTGAGAGAGCGCGAAGTGTTGAGCAAGTTGGAGTCACCGTCGAAATGTCGGACGATGGATGTGGCTGATAAGAGAAGCCGTCGGGCATGACGTCGCCACGGGTCCATGCACCCGATCATTCACTCAAACCAGCCACATAAATGTACATTTGTCCTAATGGCCATCTTACTTCTCTTCTTTCCTTCTGACTACCTCCGCTTACCCCAGCGTGCGATCGAGGTTGAACGCCGCCGAGATCAGCGTCACATGCGTAAACGCCTGCGGCGTGTTGCCAAGGCCCTCGCCGCCCGGACTAATCTCTTCAGAGTACAGGTCGACGTGGTTCCCGTACCCCAGGAACTCGATGAACATGTTCACGGCCGCCGAGAGGTACTTGGGGTCGTACTCGCCCGCGCGCGTCAGCGCCTCGATGCACCACAATGTGCAGAGCGAGAAGGCGCCCTCGGCGCCGCCCACGCCGTCGTCCGTCTTGTTCGTGTCGTACCGGAAGATGCTGGCGTTGACGCACAGCCCGCCCTTCTCTGGCGTCTTGAGGATCTGGTCGAGAGTTGATGTGAAGCGAGGGTCCGCAGCACTCGTGAAGAACACGAGGGGCATCACCACTGATGTCAGCGGAAAGCTTGAGGAGATACGCACAGACTGCAGAATCGAGGATATCGTTCTCCTCGTACGACTGGCCGTAGATACCCAGCTCCTTGTTGTACGACTTGTTCTGGATCTCCTCATACAACCAGTCGCGAGTCTCCAACCATTTCGCGCGATTGGGGCAGGGCAGGCTCCGCTTGTCGGCGAGGCGTAGGCCGCGGTCCAGTGCAACCCACATCATCACCTTCGAGTAGGTGAAGTTCTTAACCTCCCCGCGCGGTTCCCTGCATGTCAGTCCCGGCCGGTGTCGAGTGCCGTACCAAATGGAGAGGTCCTTCTTATCTACCATGGTGATGACATACTCAACCACCTGGCGAACGGCGACCCACGAGTCCCACGACTGCTGTCAGGAGCCGTCCTTCGTGAGAAACTCACTAGAGGCCGGCAGAACTTCTGGGCGAGGTAAATGCTGTCCATGAGCTCGCCGTAGATGTCCTGTGGTCAGCATAGCCAAGCGAGTCGCTCACGAGCTGCAGATGGTCGACAGCACCGTTGCCGATGCGCACAGGCTTGCTGCCGCGGTGTCCCTCGAGATGGCTGAGCTCGACCTCAGGGATGTCCTTGTCACCGTGAATGGTGTACATGCTGCGGTCAGCGGAGACGCCTCGCCTCATACATTTGCAAAGACCCGTCGTGGTTGCGATCCTTGAGGCGATCGAGAATGAACCCGACGAACGCATCCGCCCTGCCGTCAGCAACGCCATGACCATGCGCACTCCTCGGTGAAGCCAAGCCGGATGAACGCGTAGATCGTGAAACTCGTATCGCGCACCCAGGTGTACCGGTAGTCCCTGTCGTCAGCATTCACCTTGCTCACACTCACCAGTTCCGCACGCCTCCGATGTACTCTGGGAGAGAGAAGGTTGGCGCGGCGACGATCGCTCCCGTCTCCTCATACACGAGCATCTTGCTGTCATCAGCTACAACTCCACACTCACTCACAGAGTTAGCGCCGAGCGGCGCACGGCCTCCCGCCACCGCCCTCTGTATTTGCACTTGGAAATCCAGCGGTTCCAATAATCGTTCGTGTCGCTGCAGATGGTCTCGAGGAGCTTGACGCTCATGATGGGGTTGTCGCGCGGGCGGAGGAGGTGTGCGGCCTCCTTGAATTGCGTGGCGGTAATCCCGAGGGCCTTGGCCTTCTCGACGTCGATGGCGGTTTGGGACGCGATCCACTCGCGCCCGCGGTTCGCGTCGGCCGGCATCTCGCGGAGCACGAAATACACAACCTGCCCCTCGCCAAGCGTGAACTCGGCGACGGCGGCCTCGCCGAGCATGTCGCGGTCCGCGAGCGTCTCCTTCCTGATCGTGAGGTGCGGCATCTTGGCGTCCGACGTGTGCGTGCACACATGGCGCAGGTCGAGGGTGAGGTCCCGCGACTTGAACACGACCTTGGTGTGTTCCCCGCTCACGCCGACGGCCGAGTCGTCCTCGACGATCTCGACTGTGTGCTCGTCCCGCGCGTAGTTGAACGCAGGCGCGCACTCCATACGGTAGTTCACCGTGCCGTGGATGCTCTCGACTTTGCGGATGAGCCAGGGGAGCGGCGCGCGGTCCTGCGCCCCGCTCTTGTTCGCGCCCTTCGGCACAAGGAAGTCGGTGACGAGGCCCACGCTCTCCTCGGACAGGAACTTTGTGTGGAGAATGTTCGTGTTGGGCGCATAATACTGCTTTCTGGCATTAGGTGTGGAGGGAAGGAGGAACGCACGGCCTGAACTCGGAGCAGGGGGTGATGAAGAAGTGCCCGCCTTTGTTGGCGTCGACGATGCGCGCAAAGACACTGGGCGAGTCAAAGTGCGGCAGGCACATGCTCTCGATGGAGCCGTCGATGCTCACGCACGCCGCGGTCTGGGGTGAGTTGCGTAGAAGATGAACCTACGCGAAGGTTGCCGATGAGGGCATAGTCCTGCGGTCAGCGGGGGAAGGAAGGCAGTAAGGTGAGAGCAAACGCACAGCGATGGAAGAGATACGACGGCCAGCGGCGTCGTAGAGCTCAGCAGGACGTTGGCAAGACATCTCGTAGGGGTGGAGCGAGGTGCAGGACGGGGAGCGGCTGAGTGGGCGGCTTGCTCGAGGAGTGTCTGGCGGCGCCAAGATGTTAACGGCGGGCATCGAGGGGGAGGGGGAGCGGAGGGGAGCTGCGCCGCTTTATGAATGAATGAGAGAGTGAACAGCGGAGACGCAGGTGATCCAGAAGAGCGACGACGATCCAGGCTCGCAGGCTCGGCCCCGAGGCGCACTCGTCGCTCCCCGCTCCGCCCTCCGCAACAACACCGGCATACATGCCGTGACGTCATGAAATGTACGATAGCCGCGGCAAAAGGACACAGACGGAATCGAACGCAGCATCCTCTGTCAGTGCGCCAAAGAGCGACATCTGCACGTCCAGCATGGCCCAATGCACTCGATGTCAGCTGCGGAATTGGGTGTTGGGCTCAGCCCATACGCCACGCCGCAGACCAAGAATAACTGATACTGCATCTCTCTCTATCTCACGCCAACCCCCCCGCGCCCGGCAAACCGACCTTGAGCATGTTGTGTGAGCGGATGAACGAGCCGAAGAAGAGCGCAAGCGCCATAGCCACGATCATGGGCAGGTACGACTTGCTGATGGCGAGTGTGTAGGCTTTGATGACGCCTGGGCGCAGGATCCCTGGCAGCATGGGGATGACGGTGGTCGACTGGCGCACGATCTGGAACGGTGCGAGCGGCGCGTACTTGCGCAAGTATTCGTTGAGGTAGATGCTTTGGACAGTGTTGATGATGCCGACGCCGACGGCGGCGCCGGTCAGCTGGAAGAAGGAGAGGACGCCGGTCGCTTGCGGGAGAAGCGCGGGTTTGCGCGCGTACTCGGCCTGGGGTTAGCAACGCACAGATGGGAGGCTCACCTGCACCGAGAGGATGATGTTTTGGAAGGTGAGGCCGATGCCGAGGCCGGAGAGGACCTGCCACCCGATCAAGAACTTGTTCGATGTCGTCTCGGTCACGGTGAACAGCATGCCGAAGCCAACGGCGGCGATGGGCGGCCCGATAAAGAAGAACGGGTAGTAGTACCCGAACTTGGTCACGAAGCCTGAAGAAATAAAAATCCCCACGCACACGACCACCATGAACGGAATAATGTCGATGCCCGACTTCTGCGCAGAGTGCAGTTTAGACGCCTGGTAGTACAGTGGCAGCTGGTACGTGCCGCCGAGGAGGCCCATCATGATCATCCAGCTGGTGCCGGAGGCAGCGACGACGGTGCGGTTGCGCAAAATTCCGGGCGGGATGAGGGCGCGCTCGCCGAGCCAGTGCTCCCACGCGAAGAAGGAGATGGTGAGGACGGCGCTGAGTGTGAAAAGAAGGATAATGCGCCAGTTGCCCCACGGGTAGTCGTTGCCGCCCCACTGCAGGGCGATGAGGAGGCATGTGACCATGGTGAGCGAGAGGCCGCACCCGACCCAGTCCATGCGGACGAAGCCGGCCCAGCCGGTGCGGTGGAACTCGTGGGTGCGCTCAGGCGGGCGGGCGGGCAGGAGGAAGATGACGAGGAGCGTTGCGACGCCGCCGATGGGCAGGTTGATCCAAAAGCACCAGCGCCAGCTGAGCTGCTCGGTGAAGATGCCGCCGAGGAGGGGGCCGATGACGGACGAGACGACGAAGGCGAAACCGAAGCCGGCCATGAACGCAGAGCGTTTCTCGACGGTCGTCACGACCGCAATCGTCGCCATGATGGCTACGAAGAGACCGGCTGCGCCAATGCCTTGGATCGCTCGGGCAACGATGAGAAACGTCATCCCGTTCGCGAGGGCGCAGAGGAGAGACCCGAGCTCAAAGAAGAATACGGCGCCAAGCAGCACCCACTTGGCCTTGATGACGGTCAAGAGCTGCCCCACGAGAAGGATGAACCCGCACTGTGTGAGCTGGTGGTTAGCGGTGTATCAATGGCCGGGGGAGACGCACGAAGTAGGCCGTGATGAGCCAGGCAACGGCAGCGAACGAGTTGAAGTCCGAGACAATACGGGGGATGGCGGTCGCGACGATCGACTGGTCAAGCGAGAACATCTGCTGGTTAGCGGGGTCAGCAGGTCAGCAAGGACTCACAAAGGTGCAGAGCAAGAGGGCACTGAACACGAGCGCGAGGCGCGCACCCGTAAGCACGCCGTCCGGCACCGCCCCATCCCCATTCTCAGCCGCGCCCTCGCTATCCGCGACCGAGGCCTTCTCCGAGAACTTGTCTGGGCTGTCTGGCCTGTGTGGGCTGTTGATACGCTCCACGGAGCTGGCGATGCTGGGGCTGATGCTCGGTCTCGGGCTGTTGCCGCGGTCGTACCAGCTGTCGCGGTCGCTGATGCTGCGTATCTCGAAAGGGTCGAGTTTGAGCTGGGACGACAGGCTGCGCGCGACGGCAAAGCTGCCCATCGAGGGGACGCGGACGAGCTCTTCGCGCTGTGGGCCGAGCGGGAGGGTGTTGGAGTTGTTGTATGCGCGGCTGTTGCCGCCTGAGAGCTTTGGGTCGCCGCGCAATTCACGCGCGAGCAAGTAGTGGGTCATGGTGAGAGGGAGGGGGGCATCGGGGTTTGTCGTGAGCAAGCGGCATGATATGGCAGTGAGAAGGGGGTGATGGCACGATCATGGTGAGATATGGCGGCGATTGATCCGGCAGACGGCGCCGGGCCAGGTCCCACTGGCTGCTCTGTCGCCAGGGGGTGAGGCTCGCTGCTGAGCCGCCGAGCGGAAATCACTGGGTGTAGTCAGCGAGGCAGCAAGTGAACAGTGAGCTGGGCATGTGAACCCGTCAATGGCACGGTCCACCGGAACCAGGAACGCATGATGTGAGCGCTGCTGGATGCAGCTGATGCAGGATGCGTCCGGGGAATGAAAGATATGGCACAATATTGCGATGAGGCTGAGGTGACGTCTTTATCCGAGCGTTGTTGGCGGAATGGATGGCGGGAAGCCTTGGACGGGTGGTGCCTGAAGCTAGAATGCCTTGATACGGGCGGCTGCAACATGTCACGGGAGGTGCTGAAACCAAGCAACCGAATGGAATGGAACGATGCAAGCATGCAAAGCCCGTGGTCAGCATCAAGCCAAGCCCCGTCTGATTTAAGATCGCCTTCGGGCATGTCATGTCCTGGAGGCCAGGCGTGCCCATGTCTCTGCCCATGCGCACGCCCACACCCACAATCCAGTAAGTAGCCTCACTCACACACACAGCAAAACTTGCATGCTTCCGTAGGACGCAGTCGTGCTCAGCACATCCCAGGAACGTGCTCAGCACAGTCCTGTGGCACTACGGAAGTAAAAGTGTTCGAGACAAATAAAGGGGTAGAATTCGAAGTGGGAAGCCAGCTTCCCAGGTTCCCAGAACCGTCCACATGCAAGTTTAAGAGCCGGGGGGTGGGTGTTCACAGCTTCTCGAGAACCGAGACCGTGAAGTCGCTGAAGGTCGCCTCCTGGTCCTTGGGGCTGGCCCACGAGCTACCGCTGCCACCGAAGAAGGTCGAGAAGAAGAGACCGCGAATGCGGCCCTGGTCGTGGTGACGGAGGACGAGGTTGTTGGCCTCGATAACCTTGACGCCGTCAACAACGATGACCTGCTTGCCGTCCTCGTTCGGCGAGTTGCCGTTCATGGTGTTGAGCGTGATCGTGTTAGTGATGGTGACAGCCTTGCCAGCCTCAAACTTGAAGGCACCGCGGCCGAGCGAGTCGCCTGAGCCACCGTGGCAGATGATGGCGGCCGTGCCGATCTTGTACGACGCCGGGTTGGAGCAGTACGCCTGCTGCGAGCCCCAGTAGTAGTTGTAAACCTCGCCGACACCGTCGGGGCGCCACATGAGGCGCGACGAGAAGCACGACGAGCTGGCGGCGTGGCCGGTGCAGTGCTTGCCCGACTCGGCCGAGTCACCACCGTACCAGCCGGGGAGCTTGCCTCCAAGCTTCCAGTCAAAGCCCTCCTGAAACTTGACAGTGTAGGTGAACGAAGCGGTACGGGCGGCAGTGAGGTCCATGCCCGAGTTTCCGGGGTCGGCGGTGGTGTAGTAGAACCACGAGTCGTGATCGTTGACCTGGCCCTGGCGGTAGGTGAAGGTGACCGAACCGTCACCGTTGCGGCGGAGGCGGCCGTAGGCGTCCTTGAGGCCGTCGTTGTTGCCCTCGATCGTCATGTCCTCGAACGAGCCGCGCTTGGTCTGGCCACCGCCAATGTCAATGAGCGTGACGCCAGAGTCACCGCCACCAGTGGTGAAGGTCTGAATGGCAGATCCAACAGGACCCTGCTCAGGGGCAAGAGTGCCGATCCACTTGTCAACGCCGCCGGCGAGAACCTTAGTCGCAGTGTTAACCTGGCCGTCCGAGCCACTCTGAGCAGTAGCAGCGGGCTTGGCGGGCGTGGTCGCGGGGGACGAAGCCTCGGCCTCCTCGAAAGCGTCCTCGCTGGCGGCACCGTCGGTGGAAGCCGAGGGCGAGGCCGAAGCGGAAGCGGAAGCGGGAGCGGAGGAAGCGGACGAGGGCGACGAGGCACCTTCCTCCTCCTCCTCCGAGGCGAACGAGTTGCTGTCGGCCGGAGTAGAAGTCGTGGCGGGGACAGCCTCGGAAGTAGTGGAGACAGCCTCCGAAGTAACAGCGGCAGCCTCCGAAGTGACAGGACGGGCACGGCAGGTCTTGCGCTTGCCGTGGCGCGAGCGGCTGCGACGGGGGATACCGTGGGGACGGTCGAAAGAGCGGGCGACACCAGGGCCAGCCTGGTTGACAATGTCGCGAGCCTGGGGCTGCGAAGCCTCGACGGACGCCGAGGCGAGCACGGCGAGAACGGAAAGAAGCTGGAAACGCATTGTGAGGTGAAAGAGAGAGAGAGAGAGAGAGAAAGGAAACTGTGGGGGTTAGCATTGGGCTGTGCGGCAATGCAGTGGCCGATTTTATGGAGGCTCGATCTGATGGCCTGATGGTCTGATGGCCTGGGAACATGGGCCCATGGGTCCATGCTGCCACAACGGCCCAGCGGCCCAGCGGCCTAGCCGTACTTACCGAAACTGAGCGGGAAACGAATGAAAGTTGTGTAGGACTAAGGAATGTAGTTCGTGCAACGAACGTGTGGTCGAGAGGCTAGAGCCACCGAGTAGCGAGAGAGGCAGAGAGCGAGGGGAAGAGCGAAAGAGAGAATGAACGGAGCGATTGAGAGAGTTGAGTTGATGATGAGGAGAAGAAAAGCGAGGAGGGAGTGTTTGGCGGGGTGGAAGAGCGAGGGGGGGGGAGGAGAGCAGAGGGAAGAGGACCCTTCTCTTGCCGGATGTGTTTCCTGGGTGGCGCCGAACAGCTGATGATGCAGCTCCTCCCTTTGCTCCTGCCGCCGGATCCCCTAGTTGTGCTATTCCGCTCGCTCTAGATCGCTCTTCAATGCTCTGATGCTTCACCCTGCCACCTTGCACCCCTCGCACGCCTCGAGGTCGCAATGGCACTGGAATTAGAGCTGCAGCATGAGACAGCGGGTGATTCAGCACTTTGCACTTTGCACGCTGATGCATGCTGATTGGAGGCCGTCGCGTCGGTTGCTATGCATGCCGTGGGGGACGCGTGCTTTAGCGGGAGACGGGAGGGTCTAAGCCCTGTATGTTAACCCTATTGAGCCCTGAGTGCCCTGTGCGCCCTGTCCACCTGGAAGGGGGGTATTTATTTCCGATGTGCCAAGCTTCACCCTGTTTGGCCCAGACTCATTAAAACGAGGTCCCAATGTTCATTACAAAATTATGAAAGGCCCAATGCTATTGCTCTCCCTCCCTCCAGTGGCGTCAGGAGGCGCCAAGAGGGTGCCTCTATCGCTCATGTTCATGCAGGGAAGACCCCGTTCTCGAATGCCGACGCCGAGTGCCAAGGCCGGGGATGGGGGCGGAGGCGGAGGCGGGCGGCGGAGGCGGAGGCCATGGGCGCCGAGGCGCAGACTTACGCCGTCTGCGCCCCGTGAATGATGAGAGTGAGCGTGGCGCGACTCGCGTGCGCGCGTTAGTTTGCTTCCGCAAAAGGCTGCCCCACTTCCTTAATTCCTCGTGGTAATCGTGTGGCAGCGGAAGTAAACACGACACGAGATTGGCTTGGTAACGCGTCAGACGCACGGCGCGACGTTCAACCCCGGCCACCACCGATACCGGCCATCGACTGGTTCAATCCTTGTCTCAACTCCATTTACTCAGATCGCACTACTTCTCCTACCCATCCTCTGCTCTCGCCTTACCCCCTCCCTTGCTCCCGCTCTTTAGCATCATGAGCGACGCACCCCAACCCTCCAACCTCAAACTCCTCCTCATCGGCAACTCGAGCGTCGGTGCGTCCTTATCCAATTGCCACCCAACCCTAACCCCCAGGCAAGTCGTCTCTCCTCCTCCGCTTCACAGACGACGACTTCATATCCGAGGAGGAGACGGCCGCCACCATCGGCGTCGACTTCAAAGTCAAGAGCATCGAGCTCAACGGGCGCCGCTACAAGCTCTCCATCTGGGTGAGTGGCGCGCACACGGCCCGGCCCTTGGTCGGCCCTAACGCACAGGACACGGCGGGGCAGGAGCGTTTCAGGACCCTCACATCCAGCTACTACCGCGGCGCGCAGGGCGTCATACTCGGTGAGCTTGCCACCGTCACTAGTCGCCTCTGACAGTAGTCTACGATGTGTCGTCGCGGCCGACCTTTGACGAGCTCGTCAAGTGGTTCCGCGAGATTGAGACGTACTGCGCCGAAGACGTCGTCAAGATCCTCGTCGGCAACAAGGTTGACAAGGTAAGCGAGGGCGAGTGCGTGCCAGGGCTGGCTGACGGCAGGAGTACCAGCGGCAGGTGACTCGCGAAGAGGGCGAGAAGTTCGCCGAGCGCATGGGCACGCTCTTTGTCGGTGCGTCTCTTCCCGTAGCATGAAATCCCACTGACACCAGAATGCTCGGCCAAGACCAATGTCGGCGTAACTGAGGCGTTCCAAGAACTCGTCAGACGCGTAAGTCCGCCCCGCGCCGCCGCTCACCCAGATCCTCGACACGCCGAGCCTGTGGCAGCGCGGGCCACAGCCCGTGCGCGCCCCCGGCGCCGTCTCGCTGTCCGAGGACAACGGCAGCCTGCTGGGCGGCTGCGCGTGCTAGGCGCACCTTTGGGCACGTGCACGCGACATAGATGATAGTGATAGAGGCGTGGGCAAAATGCTGCCTGTGCCCCCGCAATACCTGCATCGATAATTCCCTGTTGTACAGCTACCCCTAGCTAGCCGTAGGCCGTAGATTAGACTGCATCTTATTCTGATTCGAGGTGATGGCTGACTGTGGCGAGTGCGGGTTTTTGGACGACTTGAGCCGGCCCCCAGCGCTTGCAGGTGTCGCGGCCGGCCGAGACGGCGCCTCCGTGGGACATACTTGGCCAGTGTCGTCCTATGACACTGGCGCGTGCTTCGGGACTCCTGTGATTTGCCATGTTGCGCGAAATGTGCGCGAGAGAAAGAAGCGGAGTGTACAGAGGTGAATGACAAGTGAAGCCAAGAACGAAGCCAACGTGGCAAAAGAAGACGGCATGCCCAGCAGCACTCAAGAGGTAGCAGGTACTCGAGCCATGCAAGTACTCTGATGCAGCTGCCGCCTTCTTCGCTGTACCTACCGCTACATGCTTACATCGGTGACCCCTGGCACGGAGACGGGAGTCTGCTTCCGCCATCCGTCAAGCCCGCATGCACTTGTTCAGTCGTCTCAGCAGCGCTCGACACGCAGATCCCTGCCATGGTATGCTTCGGGCTTCTGCTGATCCGTGGACCATCCGATGTTATGGGGCAGTCTGTGGCCCATCTGGGATCTGGCAGGGCTTTTGTGGCAATATCGGTGTTTCTCGAGATTAGTCGGCATGCGGCGTCGAAGCGGACCACCTCTTCTATCGACTTGGACTCCGCGTGTCGTCGTGACCATCATCCGATGAGAACCGTACCCGGCATTTCCAGCTCTCTCAATACAGCCCGACGAGAGCGCCGACATCGCCGCCCGCACCGCGACGTCGTGAGGGATTGGCATCGTGCGACTCCCGAGGCGGCCGATGAGGTCGGAATTCTGCTCGTTTGACTCTGCTTCTGGCTCTATCGCCGGTCACTCGCAGCTGTGGTCAGCGCAGCTATATGTAGTCTTGACGTGGCCATCCGTCATCCCCATCCCTCTCCCATCTCAGCATCCTTCGCATCACTCTCTCCCACCATCCGCCTTGTTCCCCCTTATCCCTCTCCAGCCCCCCCGCTCCTCACCAACGGGTCATATTACCAGCTCATACCAGCCGAGCGCGCCGCCGGCGAGCGGATTACCGAGCTTCAAAGAGAAGAGAAGTGCGTTGTGGCAGCCACGTCGCACAAGTTCACGCCCCAAACCTCATCAACTATCTAGCTGCATCAGCAGGCGGCTACCTGGCAGTGCGTACAATACATCTGCAACACCAGGAACTCTCGAACTCCCATGTCCGAAAAAAAAGTTGCCAACACACGTACGTTCTCTCGGTGGGCTCTACGGTCCACCCACACGAGCGGTCGGGAGACACGTGTTCGGCGGCTATGCCGATCACATCGGCCCTCAACGAGCTCACGAACATCCACAACTGATGTGTGTGGCGGTGCGCCAATTGGCGCACCGACGACGCCGCGCTGTCGATCACATCGTCCACAGAGATGCTGACACCTCACTTGTCAACGACGAGCGGCGGACAAGGGGAGTTGAGCCTAGAGGTATGCCGTATATCGAGGCTGGGCACGTGAAACGCTCATGTTTGGAAGCACCTCCCCATTATGATCCAAGGAACGACATCGTGCCAATGCAACGACAACAGCACGACGACCTGAGGCAGACACTCACCCGCGGCTCACCATGCGTGGATGCAGAGCCAGTTTGGGCATTTAGCAAGCGCAGATCCCGGCAACCTCGCCGACGGGAGTCGACAGATTGGCTGACTTATGTGGACGCACATTACAACGCTGTACTCGGGGACGATGGGAGCCCGAACGAGTCGAGAGGGGGGAGCACGCCAGGCAGCATCAGTCGAGGATCTCTCAAAGGAGGACCGGAAGTGCGCGTCAGTTGTCTCCCATCATCGGTGTATGTTGGTGGCGGGTTGGCACATCTTTTCCGTCACGATGGCGGGTTGGCACATCTTTTCCGTCACAATGGATGCAAACCGACGAATACCTCTCGGCTCCTATGGTGGCATGTCGGGGCTGCGTCGCGCTCTGGCCTGTGCTTTAGGCCGTGCGAGGGTGGGAGCAACCGATGGCTAGAGGCAAAAGCTCGTGAATATCCAGACGATCGCAACGTGTCCTTGTATCCATCGTGGGGGGTTGGGGCGTGCGCAGACGGAACTCAACGCCCACGAGCGCTCTCGTAACGTCATTAGGGGCCGATACTGTCTGCGAACCCTGGCTCAATACATATATCTCGCATGCCGAGACGCCCATCCGCCATTTGTCAGATCCATCACACACGAGCCTTTACCCACCTCTCTCGGCGCTATTTAGCGGCGCGTCTTGACGTCGGCCTTGGAGAAGGCGAAATACGCGTCCTAATGATCACCCACGACCCCGCTTCGCCCAAACCAGCCCTTGCATTTCTGCAGGACCTTTTATCGTCGCGACATTGAACCTTGCCCATGGGTGTCTTTGAAAGACTCCCACTTGTATGGTCGACGGGGCTTGAGTGACGGCAGGCATCGAAGTAGACCCACTGGGGTCATCACTTGAGACTTGTTCTGCACCCCGTCGAGCATACCAGTGGAAGTTTGGGCTCCAGCCGCTTTCCGGGTCTTTCAGTTATTCATGAGAAACCCGTCTTAATAAAGGAGAACCACCGAGTTAGTGACTCGTGACGTTCAGCTGCAGCCAGAATGTCGAGCAACGCTCGGACAAGGCAACTGCACCACACAAACGGCCCAATAGGCGGGACCATTCGTTGTCGTAGAGTCTTTACAAGATGAAACTGATACGTACGAAGACGGAGCGATGATTGAGACGCGAGGAGCGGCCGTGTGGCATGCCAACGAAGACGCGTCAGAGGTACAATATCGTGGCCTATTCAGTGGCAAGCGGTTGTGGTCACCGGAATGGGCTCGAGGGACAAGGGTGTGGTCATTCCCGAGATACAGTGAGTCCCACCGCATCTCAGCACTGACCACCGTACTACTCCACGCCCTCCGCCAGAACACGGCCCATGCTGACGCCATGACACGAGGGCGTCACCTCGTAAAACATTACAAAACGCAGGCACAACGTAGGTGGGCGGCACACTGACGAGCAAACGTGTCTAGGCAGATCAGAAGCCTTCAGCGATGAACCACAAATAGTGATGAGGCCTTCTTGTGAGCGTAGGTTGTGGGGCAGATAAGGCGGCAGACTACCGAGGCTGCCACGCGAGGCTCACGTGGCTCGACCTTCGAGAGCTTTCGCAACTAACCCTGGAGGGCGTGCTGGGCGAATTGATCAGCTTGAGCCGGTATAACAGCGCGCTGAGCGGACCGGTGAATTCTGGATGAGCTGGCTGAGGGGTGGAAGTTTCCAGGGGGCTCCTAGAGATTCCATAGCACATCGTCGCCTCTCCGCGTCACCCATCCCAATCACTTCAAATACTCATCCACTTCGTTTCCTCCATTTCTCCAAGTAAAACGTAGACATCTCTACTCTGTGAGTACACGCGCGCTTGCTCCCACCAGCCGGGAGCAAGTATGCAGCTGTGCAACGGCTGTCTCCATGTGTCCATTGACGGTGTTGCTGACTTTTCAGTCTACCCTCTCATAATCCCATCATAATGTCGAACGCCAACCCTTCGCCGGAGGTCTTCGGCTTCCAGGCTGAGATCTCTCAGCTTATGGACCTTATTGTCAACACCTTCTACAGCAACAAGGAGATCGTAAGTCATCTCGAGCGCCGCAAAGGTCAAGTGGTGGAGCTGCATGTGGTGGAAGCTTGGGGAGTGATGGAGGAAGCGGCTCATCTCTTGGGACATCTGCACCTCCTTGCGATCCTCTTGGCCTCCCACTGCACCTCTCTTGACTTCGGCGGCTACACCGATCCCGGGCACACAGCTAACCTCAGTTCCTTCGCGAGCTTATCTCGAACTCGTCAGACGCTCTTGACAAGATCCGCTATGCCGCTCTTACCGACCCTTCGCAGCTCGACTCGGAGAAGGACCTCTACATCCGCATCACCCCCAACAAGGAGGAGGGCACCCTCACCATCCGTGACACTGGTATCGGCATGACCAAGGCCGACCTCGTCAACAACCTTGGTACAATCGCCAAGTCGGGCACCAAGGCGTTCATGGAGGCTCTCTCGTCGGGTGCCGACATCTCGATGATCGGTCAGTTCGGTGTCGGTTTCTACTCGTCCTACCTTGTCGCCGACAAGGTGCAGGTCACCACCAAGCACAACGACGACGAGCAGTACATCTGGGAGTCGGCCGCCGGCGGCACCTTCACCATCACCGAGGACGTCTCGGGCCCTCGTCTTGGCCGCGGCACCTCGATGAAGCTCTTCATCAAGGACGACCTTAAGGAGTACCTCGAGGAGAAGCGCATCCGTGAGGTCGTCAAGAAGCACTCCGAGTTCATCTCGTACCCCATCCAGCTTGTTGTGACCAAGGAGGTCGAGAAGGAGGTTCCCGACGAGGAGGAGGAGAAGAAGGAGGGCGACGACAAGATCGAGGAGGTCGAGGACGAGGACTCTGGCAAGAAGAAGAAGACCAAGACGATCAAGGAGACCACCACCGAGAACGAGGAGCTCAACAAGCAGAAGCCCATCTGGACTCGCAACCCCTCAGACGTCACCCAGGAGGAGTACGCCTCGTTCTACAAGGCGATCTCCAACGACTGGGAGGACCAGCTCGCTACCAAGCACTTCTCGGTTGAGGGCCAGCTCGAGTTCAAGGCCATCCTCTTCATTCCCAAGCGCGCCCCCTTCGACCTCTTCGAGACTAAGAAGAAGCGCCACAACATCAAGCTCTACGTCCGCCGCGTTTTCATCACCGAGGACAACGAGGAGCTTATGCCCGAGTACCTCAACTTCGTCGTCGGTGTCGTCGACTCCGAGGACCTTCCCCTCAACATCTCGCGTGAGACCCTCCAGCAGAACAAGATTCTCAAGGTTATCCGCAAGAACCTCGTCAAGAAGACTCTTGACCTCATCTCGGAGATCGCTGAGGACAAGGAGAACTTTGACAAGTTCTACACCGCCTTCTCGAAGAACCTCAAGCTCGGCATCCACGAGGACGCCACCAACCGCAACAAGCTTGCCGAGTTCCTCCGCTTCTACTCGACCAAGTCGGCTGACGAGATGACCTCGTTCAAGGACTACATCACCCGCATGCCCGAGGTCCAGAAGTCGATCTACTACCTCACCGGCGAGTCGCTCGAGGCCGTCCGGGACTCGCCGTTCCTTGAGGTTCTCAAGAAGAAGGGCTTCGAGGTTCTCCTCCTTGTTGACCCCATCGACGAGTACGCCGTTACCCAGCTCAAGGAGTTCGACGGCAAGAAGCTCGTCTGTGTGTCGAAGGAGGGCCTCGAGCTCGAGGAGACCGACGAGGAGAAGGCCGAGCGTGAGAAGGACGAGAAGGAGTTCGAGGGCCTCTGCAAGTCGATGAAGGACATCCTCGGCGACAAGGTCGAGAAGGTTGTCGTCTCGAACCGTATCTCGGACTCGCCATGCGTGCTCGTCACCGGCCAGTTCGGCTGGTCGTCCAACATGGAGCGTATCATGAAGGCCCAGGCCCTCCGTGACTCGTCCATGTCGTCGTACATGGCCTCGAAGAAGACGCTCGAGCTCAACCCCCACCACCCCATCATCAAGGAGCTCAAGATCAAGGTCGCCGGCGACTCGGCCGACAAGACCGTGCGCGACCTCACCGTCCTTCTCTTCGAGACCTCGCTCCTCACCTCGGGCTTCACCCTCAACAACCCCCAGGACTTTGCCCAGCGCATCAACCGCATGATCTCGCTCGGCCTCAGCATCGACGACACCGTCGAGGCCGCCCCTGCCGCCGAGGACTCGGCCCCCGCCCTCGAGGAGGCCGGCGGCTCGATGGAGGAGGTCGACTAAGCGTGCAGAAGATAGTGTAGACAGGCAGTAGCGGAGTGTGCCAGAGCGGTCGCTCCGATCTCGCAGCATATTATGTTCCCGTGTGTTATGCAGCATTGTTTCATAGTTCGACGAGCGTGGCAGTGCGAGCAGGGTTGCGGTGATGCGGAGGATTTGTGACTGACAGAAGTCACGAACCCCTACGTGCGTTTCTTGCTGATGAGGATGTGTAACCATCGACCTTCTAGAAAGTGCGGATGACGCTCGTCCGCTCTAGAAGTTGGTGGCGGATTGGCGTTATTGTGCTTGTTATCCGTCTCCCGTGATTTCTGCGGGGTAGTCGCGGGCCTCATCGGTGTGCCGCGCAACGTAGAGACTTCTCATGAGCAAGCGTAACATGTTGATGCGATGTACAGTGGTCTATTACTTCCTGGTCTATTCCCCTATATATACCCTCTCTTTAGGACTACTCGCCAACGCGGTACGCAACCATGGCCTCGAGACTGTGAACGTTCGTGCTAAAGCTGCGTAGACGGACCTGCTCGACCTTGCCGCGGTCAATCAGGTGTGGGTCGGCATCGCCCCACGTCGCGGGGATAGGCGCGTCCGGAGAGTCGTTGGTGTACGCAAGGATGGTGAATGTGCCTGGAGTCAGCATCGCAGGGCACTCAGCCGGCCTTGCGAACGTAGCCAAGCTGCGGCGCTCCTCCACACTCACACTCATCATCCAGGATGGGCAGGAAGGTCACACTGCTCGTGATCTGCTTCATGATGTCGCGGATCTCGCCCTGCACCTCCTTCTCCGTCTTGTTTGGTTTCCTCGTGGGCTTCGGTGCACCAGGGATCGCGCCGGCGGTCGTTGGCCCGTCCTCCGTGTGGATGTCAAACTGCCACCGCTCGAGCGTCTCGTCCGTCTCAATCGACTTGATGGCGAGTACCAGACGCGTGAGGGTAGACGAAAGGAGCCAATCTAGTGTTAGCTTGGAAGGGCTAGTTGGCCGGCGCCTGCGACTTACCAGACACCTGGCTGAGGATTGTCTGGATGTATTCCTTGAGCCCTTCATCCGAAGTAACGAGCATCGGCAGGCCATACTTCTTCACCATTCTGTCGTCAGTCATTGTCAAGAGGAGTCAAGCGAAGCCGGCATATACGTACCGGAACTCATCGGAAGGATAGACGCCGCGCTGGTAGAGAATGCTGCTGTCAGTTCGCTCAGGTATGGAGCTCACGAGTTGACGCTGTACTCGAAGAACTCAGTGACAAGCGCAGTCGAGCCCTTGAGCGTGATAGCCTGGTTTGTGCGCGTTCTCTGCTTTGTGGCCATGGTGTTTTCCGCGTGTTGGTGGTTGGTGTATGGTGATCAGATAGTGGAGGAGGGTTGTTGTGATCGAGATCCGAAAGAAGTCACGGGCGGGGCGGAGGAGCGGAATCAAATCATGAGGCTGACACAGAGTAGAGGCTGGCAAGGCGATGATGAAGCCAGGCCCCAAGCTGGGTGGCCAACACCGACAACTCCCCCTTCATCTCCACTCTCCATCTCATTCCACTCCATCTCCATCACTACACACCATGTCAGGCTGGATGAGCTGGTTCGGCGGGCGAAGGGACACGCGCGAGCAGGCGCGCGACTCGATCGTCAAGCTGCGCCAGCAGTTGCTCATGATTGAGAAGAAAGAGGAACACCTGCAGAAGAAGATCGAGGATGAGACGAGCAAGGCGCGGGCCAACGCCACTTCCAACAAGCGCGGTGAGTAGATGCGGGTCGAGGAGGCCGAGGATAAGCGCAGCGCTGATGACAGTCGCTATGAACGCACTGCGGCAGAAGAAGGCGTTCGAGAACGAGCTTGACCGGCTCGCCGGAACACGTATGACATTGGAGACGCAGGTGAGTAAGAGCGGCCATCGGGGGGATGGCAAAGAAGTCGCATTTGTCGGTGCTGGCTTCGACTGTGCTGGTCAAGAGGACAGAGGGAAGGCCGGGTACGGTATGCCGGTGGCAATCCGTTATCTCACCCTGGTAGTCCAGCGCGGCGCTGGCCTTGCGCCGAGTCGACGCTGTGCTCAGCCTGGCAGACTGGCTAGCGAGACAGAGCGGTTGATGCCCACACCGTGCCGTTAGGCTATTGTGGCTTGACGTTATGACATTGAGCGGGCGATGGGACGGTGTTGCTGCGGAGTTGAATTGCTGCTGACGATAGGTCAACGCGATCGAATCGGCCAATCTCAACGCGGAGACGATGGTTGCGATGCGGCAGGGTGCTGCGGCGCTCCAATCGATCCACTCGGGACTGTGCGTACCGGGCATCCCAAGCCTTAGTCTTGTTGTGGGTCCAGCTAACATTGCAGCAAGGTCGACAAGGTCGACGAGACTATGGACCACATTCGCGAGCAGATGGAGCTCACAAACGAGATCTCGGACGCCATCTCCAACCCGGTCGGCATGGGTGTACAGCTCGACGAGGACGACCTGCAGGCCGAGCTCGACGCACTCGAGCAGGAGGAGCTCGACAGCCGCCTCGCTGGCGCCGACCACGTGCCCGTCCACACTCCCGCCTCGCCCGTCGCTGTCAATAAGAGCAAGACGGCTAACAAGGAAGAGGACGACGAGGAGGCACAGCTCCGCCAGCTCCAGGCAGAGCTTGCCATGTAGCGCCGCCTTGCAGTTCTCGTGCCTAATTTTACACGCTTCTATACCGGTCCCTCTTGGGGGCATGTACTATCATGATCCATTCTGTGCTTCTCATCGCTGCTGATTTGTACCAGGCTCCTTTCCAGCCCCATCGATAAGCCATCGCTTCGCTGGCCCGCCTGCTGGACTTTGAGGACGACGCTGTGCGCCCACTGCATCATCTACTCAATACAGTACAAACAACATGTTCCCAATCGACTATCTCTAATTAATCTTCGCCGGGCTGTGTACTATACTCGCGCCGTTCCCGTTCCCGTTTCCCGACGCGGGGTCATGCGATCGCCGTGGCGGGCGGGGCGGGAGGGCGAGTTGGAGCTGCGGCGGGGGTGGAGGGGGCAGCTGCTGTTGTGGTGGTGGGGTAGGGAGGCCGTTCCGCTGCGGGGTGGTTATCGCGATAGCGGGTTTTGGTGCGGCTGTCGGTGGCGGCGCCGGCTTAAACGGCGGCAGTGTGAGGACGCCAACGCGGTTGCCAAAGCCGGCGAGGACGGCGCGGCCGCCCGCCGTGAACGGCCGCACGGAGACGTACCCCAGCGGCTGGTGGGTCGGGACAGTGAAGCTGCCTGCGCTCGAGGGGAACGAGGCGCGGCCGTTCATGCTGAGCATGCGCTCCGCACGGCGCGCGCGCATCGACAGCTCGCCCTCCGACGAGGTCGAGGGCGCGTTCCGTGGAGACGTGCCCCGCGTCTTGCGCTGGATTGCGTCCAATGACACTGCTTCAGCCATCAGGATGAAGCCGTTCCACGGGCTCGCGAGGTCGAGCGCCCACAGCTCCCACTGCGAGTCGTCGATGCCGCTGCCTTTACGCAACAGGCCGACAACCACGTTGTCGACCAACACCCATCCTCCCTCCGACGCTTCCACTCCTCCAAGGGGCAGAATGCCGGCGTCCATCCACCGGCTGTCTGCTGACAGAGCTGTCGTCTCCTCGACAGGTAAGATCATGTTGTTCAGGCCCGTGAATGAGCCTGATCTGTCCAGCGGCGAGGGTGGTCGGTTATCTTCCCGCCACCCACTCAACCTCCGCGCTCCATGGGAGGAAACGGGGAAGTCACCAGGCGGTGCCAGGGATGACTTGACAGGCGTACCCATGGCGCTGGGAGACAAGCCCATGGTCGCAGCCGCGGGGTTGGAGAAGCCATTTGACAGGCAGCGGCTTCGCACGGGCATCGGCGGGAAGACGACGCTCGCGCGAATCAATGCCTTGGCATCTTCGAGCGCTTGAGCGCGGCGCGCCGGTGCGCAGCGGCAGAACGGACCTCCAGTTCTAGACAAGATGCGGTCGACGTACACGGTCGACGATGTCGAGGCGATAACGTAGAAGCCCTCGGTTGAGTGGATGTCGCACGATGTACAACGAGTCGAGTGCGGCGCCCCAATGTCAACGGCTCGGATTGGATCGTTAGACAGCGCGAGCAATGTTACCAGCTCGCCGTCCGTGTCGATGATTTCAACGTTTCCTGATCGATGTCCCAATGCGATGAGGCGGACTTTGTGGCCTCGCCAGCGTGCGGGAGCGTGGCCGATGGCAACGACGCGATCCGACTCGTCAAGCGACGAAATCAGAGGCATGGAAGACCATTCACCATGCTGTCGGCTCCAAAGGGTGGTCGTCGAGAGCGATCTCACGATAATGTCGAGGATGCCATCCTCTACGAATATGTCCGTGGTATGTGGGCCTTCGTCCTTCGCTGGAGGGACAAGGTCCACGACAGTGTCATCGTCGCGGAGTGCGCGCACACTACCGTCCGAGATTGCAACGAGCAGGGTTGGGCGCCGGAGAGGTCCTGGACTGGCAGCAGATACTGGCGAGGACGTAAACGGGTCGTCGACAGGAACGGGTGCGTCGTCAAAGAGGACGGAAGCAACACGGCCGTTGCCGCAGCCGATCTTGACACAAGACACGCTCTCCGTCTTGTCGTCTTCCGGGGTTCTCCAGAACTGGGACCGCCCACACCGAGAAACGACCATCACCCACATGCGATCGCGGCTCACTGCGGCGCCGACGATCGGATCGCCGCTGCCGAGTTCGGTAGGAACCATCTCGCGTGTGCCTGCAGCTTGATCATCGGCCGAGAAGCGCCACAGGCAGATCGAGTTGTCCACACCCACTGAGACGGCCAGCCGCCCGTCGGCACTAGCAGCGATAACGTCGATGTCGGATTCGTGGCTCGCGGGTAGCATGTGCACGCCAATCTGCGTAGCCATGGGTGGCTGCTTTCCACTGAGGAATTGCATCTCCATGGCTGGCGAGCTGCCGCCGTCGTCGCTCTCGTCATCACTTGCAGATTCGCCGCGGCCCAGGCGATTTCGCTGCGAGGCCAAGAGGTCAGAGTCCTTGAGCAGGTAGAGCAGAAGGCCGTACAAGGCCAACGCGGTCGCAGTCTGAGGGATAATGACCAGCTTGATGAAGTTCCAGACAGGCGTGAAAGAGGGGAGGCGGACGTTCCAGGGTGGCACTGTAAGTCTGCGGATGTCGGCTGGCAACATCGAGTGTCCAGCGCGGGGTAGAATGGCGATCGAGGAAGGCGACATTCCAATGCGGATGGACTGGAAGCCGCGTGGATTGAGCGCGCGCCAAAACGCCTCGGACAGAGACAGAGTCGCAAGCTCGAGGCCCGCAGTTTTGGTGGGGCTTGCGTACGCCGAAGTCGTGGTCGCGGTTGGCTGATAGCCGTAGAAGGATACTGCCGCAGTGCTTGCTGATCGCGACGAATCGCTCCAGTAGTAGAGAGAGAAAATGAAGAGGAGGATCACGATCAGGCTTACGCCCTTCGTCTTCCGTCCCTTCAAGAAGCTGCGCCACTGGAAACGCGCCGGGCGGCTTGCCTTGCGGCGCGCTGCCTCCTCGTCGCGCTTCTTTTCCTCCACCGCAGACAGGCCGCCGTTCGAGGAAAGAACGTCGGCCAGCTCGAGGCGCTGGGCGTCGATTGACAGGACCTGCTGTTAGTGGCAAAGATCATGAACATCGACGTACCGTCAAGAAGAAGGTGTGCAACATGAACCAATCCGTCACGATAACGACGGCCGCGAACACGCAAAACTCCCGTACCGGCTGTATGTGAAACACCAGGAAAGTAATGCCAAGTACCGCCAGGTCGGTGAGAGATGTGATTGCGATCGTGGTGCCGACTTTGCGCAGTCCCAACCCGATGCGAACGGGAACCGAGTGGCTGAAGGGGATGGAGAAAACGGCCTTGGTCAGGGTTGACATGTTCTCCACTCCGACGATGATAACGACAAAAGGAAGCATGTAGGTCGGGAGAACTGTTTTGCCCTTGCTCCAGCCCCAGCCGTTCCAGCCAAGTAATGCGAGGACGCTAAACGACATGACAGCCGAGCAGCAGAGCTGCACCACGCCAGTGAACGCGAGTCCGAAGCGTGAGTGGACCTTGGAGGCATTGGAAAGTTGGGCGAGGAGCACGACGAGGAATATGCAGTACAGCGCATATACGTAGAATGGCGGCTTGAGAGGAACTACCTCGAATGGGATGTCGCGCGCTCCGGGCGAGTACTAGGGGTCAGCAGGCGGTGGCGATTTCTCAGCTCACGGCAATCAGTGCGGAATCGGCGACATTGGAACCGGTGGGGTAGGTTTCGGTGAACACCTCGGCACCCAGAGGTTTGAGAGCCTTGGCGAGACGCGCGGACCACTCAGCCTCGAATGAGGAGCGTGTGCGCGATACATGGAACGGCACGGCGACCCCGCGGTAGACCTGGTCCTCGCTTTCGGTGAGGTTCCAAAGCGCTGACATGGGAGTCGCGCCCTCGATGAAAACGGCGTCAGGGGCCAGAAGGTAACATGGCCCGACTGCGGACGCAGTGCCATTGACGTCGACGAGGTGGCGAACGCATGCGGCGCCATCCCATGCGTCCTCGGCAATGCTGCGGATAGCAGCGGCAATCTCATCGTCACGCTGCCCCCAGGGGGCGCGCTCGACACCGTCGAGGACGTGCCCGACGTCCGCCCACGCTACGCGAAGGAGATCGACGTCGATCCGTCCTTCTGGTGAGGGCGCGGGGCCGGTGGCCGCCACCCAGGCCGTGTCGCTTCTGGGGTCGCTGGCCCACCATGGGCCCCACGGCACGTTTGGGAGGAGTGGCGGCGGATCGGGGAAGAACGTCTCGCCGAGTGGAGTGCTAAAGATGGCGAGAGGGGAGCGGGACGCGCCGATGGTGCCCGGAGCTGGGGCACGCGCAGGCCCCGCGGCGGCGTCATCAAACTGCCGCTCAAGAAAGGCGGAGAAGGTAGGGTAGAAGAGAGTGGTCATGACGATACAGTCGATGAGAAGAGTACGGACCTGAGGTCAGCTCCAGAGCGGCGAGGGCGCACTTGGTTTCTGGCGCAGTGCTCGCCAAAGACACGAAAGCCCTCCTGGACGTATCCGAGGAAGGTGAGTGGAGGCGCTGCGGGCTTGCGTCTACGGGCGCGGGGTGGGGGGCCATGGCCGTGGCCGTTCTCGGCGGCGGCGGGGCGCTGGCTCGCGCGTTGCCGCAGCGACGACGCCGAGGTGGCCGAGGGCGCGCCGAGCCAGGACATAGTAAGGACGGCGAAGGCAAGCGTTTAGGAAAGCATCGGCGGGGGAGGGTGGCTAGTAGTGTAGATGATGCGCGAGGTGGATGGAAGTTTGGCGTGCGGAAGTGGCTGGCTGGGGCAGGCTGCTGAGGTTGACCAGGTGCCGTATTCGTATCTGTATCCGCCGGTTAACTGCCGGCGGTGACGGCAAAGGGTGGGAGGAGGATTCGGTGGTTGTGGGGGGAGG